ATAGACAGACAGATAGATAGATAGATAGATAGATAGATAGATAGATAGATAGGTAGCGTCCAGTTTTGTGGATGTGATCCCCCCCCTGCCCCCAGAAATATCATGTTAAAAAGGCATTTTGAAATTGTATACACCCGCTTGGCTTGCCTGCTAGCTTGCCTCACTAAATAAACAAGCGTAAAATTTATTTTTTTTTAAAGGAAAATGCAATATAGCCCCAATTTACTGTCTAGATCTATGTTGCAGTATATAATTCCTGCTTCGTTTAGTTTCTTGGCACTACACAGCTTTTGTATCGGCATTTATTGTGAAAAGTATGGGCCATTCGCCTTGCATGTTCAGGGCAAGCACGTGACTTTGATCTCCGTGTGAGAAAGATCTTTTCTCCTGTAATTTTGCCATTCTGACCCCCCACGACTAGGATTGACACTTACAGGCAGGGTCAAAGTCAAAGAAGCGCGCCTTCCTAATTATCTAAATGCTGTTGCTATAAACGTAAAACACAAATTGATATATTTATTTCAAGCAAACTCAAAGTGTTGACAATTTTTAAAGTCATTTATTAATATTTTGAGGTTTGGGTGACTATGAAAGAAAGGATGGCATTCTCATGAGGTGAAAATGTTCCCCTGACATATTTTACAAAACATGTATTGTCCATGATATATGAAACATGTTCTACACCACAGCGCTTACACTACCGTATAAAAAATAATGACATCATGTTTCGAAGTCGAAAACAAAGTTTAACTATCACACTCGCACACATTCTTCTTAGCATTACAAAATGCATCTAAATGTTTTCCTTTTCCAAATAATGTATGATACAACATAAGAATTATATTTTCAAATGAATTAAACGAATGCATCCAAGTGAATATTCTAAATGTAATTACAAATTCATGACATCATGGGCTCGACGCAGTCAGGCCATAAGAAAAAAACAACTATGAGCTCATGAAGATATTATATATAGTAACTCTAACTGCCGCTTCTCTTGTGCTTGTCTACGATTGATATAAGCATACTGAAATAAAATACACTACCTTACGCCAATTGTTATATAGCAGGCTGCATGTTAAATACCAATGTTCTTAAACGATGCTTCTTATAAATGCTCACTTTCTTGACGTCAAAGCAATACAAATACAAATTGATCGTTATTTATCAATAGTTGAGTGAGTTTAAATAAGACAATCATGAAGACGGTAAAATGTGTTATCTTAAAATCCAATGAATTTGCAGTAAAAAGAAATAATAATAATCTGGGACGCATGCAGATTGCATCCAATTTAACAAGTAAGATTGATGTATTATGTACAGATGTAAGAGTTGCAAGATGGCCTCCGGACTGACTGCCAGCTCCATTTATTTTTTTACGTAAGTAAAGAGAGTTTGGTCAAATCAGCCGGAGAAATATCTCTTGTAACAGAGGACACTCTCTTTTTTAAAGATTAATCCTTTATGCTTGCCATAGCTGCAGTTTCGTTTTCTTTTCATTCCCCGCCTTAGCTCTGTTGAGACAGGTTGCTTAAAATCTGGTGAACCATCAGTTGCCTACTTTGTCTAGTGGTCGGAGACAACTCAACCCCCAAAGGGATTATTTACAGCAAATCTTTGAAAATGTTGGAGCCAAATAATTATGAAGCAAAAGAGAGAAAAAGTCGTGCATGGAACCAAAACCCCCCCAGAAAATGAAGTCAACTGTGTTCACCATAGAAATAAAAATTACACAAGAGTTGATTCGAAGTGTCGCTTTGGTAACAGAGCTGGAAAAGCGAGTTTAAGTTTTGAAACTTTGGGCTGAACAACAAACATAATATTTTTATATCGTTAGAAGACACAACTGTGGGAGAAGAAGGCATTTTTTGTTAAGCTCTTGGAGCTTTCAGTTTCTTTATAATTGTGTTGAAATCAGAGTCCCTATAAATTACATAGTACAACACACTTTGCTGCAACATGGAAATGTTGCGTTAGGCAAACTATTCCAGCACAAGACGCCCATGCCCTATGGGCTACGTTTGTGCCAAGTAGGAAGTTTCTCTGTGAAAAACAAAATCAGAGCCCTATTTACGGAACCATTCTAAACTTTCAATGATGGCTCATGTGCTAAACGGTATACGTGCACGTATAAACTATCACGTACACCATACACTTCAACTTTTGACTGCATTCAGTCAGACAGATCTGAATATTTAGATTGATCGTTGAATTCTATCTTTGATTGGTTGTGCTTTTTGTCAAAAGTTGAAGGTCCAGCGCTATGGTTACGCAAAATTCTATATTATCTGCTTTTGTCCAACTCATATACGTCAGCAGCATGAAAAGATATGCCTAATGCACGTGCGTGTGTCCTTGCACGTGAACCAGGCCAGTGGCAGGAACCAGGACTTGGTGAAGAAAAGCCAAACTACGGTGGTGGCCATGTCTCTGAGAGCCCGGCACTCGTCCTCCTCCACACAGCCCAGGTAGCCCTCGGTGGTGAGCACTGTGAGCAGGAACACGGGCGTGTAGAAGAGGATTGTGGTGAAGGAGGCCAGGCAGATGTCCACGGGCGCGCGGATTCGCTCACCGGTCGCGTCCAGGCTGTAGGACTCGCGCCGGACCAGGTACAGAACCGACACTGCGATGTTGAAGATCAGCAAGAGGGCGGCCTGGGGAAATGGTGAGGGTACAGAGATTGAGTTGAGTGAGAATGGAGATCCGTCCTGGGGCTTTTTTTGTCTTGGGGGGGAGGTGCAAAATAGCATTCTCATTTCCAGGAACGATGTTGTTAGATAAACGACAAAAGCTTATACCCTTTGGGATTTGTTTGCCCTTTTTTGTTTGTTTGTTTGTTTTTTGTTTGTTGGTTGGTTGGTTGGTTGGTTGTTGTTTGGTTGTTTTTGTTTTTTTGTTTTGTTTTGTTTTGTTTTGTTGCTGTTGTTTTTGTTTTTGTTGTTGTCGTTGTTTGCAACAGTCACACTAAACATGTCATTATTACAGCACCAAAATGAACATGCTATTCTTCTAGACTCACTTAAACATACACAACTGGGCCATTCTAATTGGTGGCGTCGGTAGCCTAGTGGTTAGGCTACCGGACTCGTAATCGTGAGATTGCGGGTTCGGGGGTTCGAGCCTCAGCTCGGTCTAACGATGTTTTGTCCTTGGGAAAGGCACTTTACACGAACTTCCCACTTGCCTCGGTCCTATCGGAGACGGACGTTAAACTAGGAGGTCCCGTCCCTTAAATAACCTAATAGTGTTGATAAGGGCGTTAAACCCATACCATTTCACCATTTTCACAATTCTAATTGCTAACCCGATCTGATCTTGCGGACACCACTCGTTGAACACTACCATTCTCTCCACCGACGACAGACTGGTTGGTAAGTCGACACTTTAAAACGTGGCTGTATACCAGTATAATGTACCAGCAAGCATCAGCATCGAGATTCGAACTAACATTCCCACCATACTCTAAACTAAAGCCAATTCTAAAACCTAAAAATTTCATTGAGCAATTAATTACTTTTGTCTTTGGTGTTACGATTGCAACATATGCCGACTTTTCCTCGTTTTCTTCACAATGGTAATGCCGATCTTCCATTAGTATATGTATTTATCAATGATTTATTTTCTTGTATAACAATAGTTAAGTTGACAAGTCTGGACTGCTAGAGAAGCTGACTAGAGCAGTGTCAGTGAAAAGTCCATCTCATGTTGACATTAACCATACATGACACTTATGAAGCGTGTTCCCATCACATATTATTATTATCATTGTTATTATTACTATTATTATCATCATCATCATCATCATCATCATCATCATCATCATCATCATCATCATCATCATCATCATCATCATCATTATCATCATCATCATTATTATTATTAAAAGTTGTGAAATTGTATAGGTTCAACAATGTTACGTTATTTAAGAGGCGAGTCCTCCGAGTTTAACGCCCTTCTCTGAAAGGACGGAGCCAAAACGGGAAAATTCATGTAAAGTGCCTTTCCCTGACGCTCGAACGCCCGAAACCTCCATATCACGATTACGGGTCCTGTAGCTTAACCACAAGGCCACAGATGCCACTTAGTAATATCATCATAATCGTTATTGTTAATATTATTATT